GTGGATGTTACTTTGGAGCACTATCTGCAGTCAAATAAATAAATATACGTCAACTAAGCTTTAAGGACAGTTAAAATGACCAGTTTGCATTAAAATAGAGGCTAAGAATTTTTGACAATGAAAATTGTCTTGGTGTCCCTGCCATCTACTGACAGGAAATAACATAAGTATTTTTACCTTAGCAAGCTACTAACGTCAAAAGAACAATGTAAATGAAGTATCACCCAGAAAGTGGAAAAGGGATTCTGGAAAATAAGGGAGATGGAAGCTTCTCCTGGGGAACAGAACTAAGGTCTCATCAAGGTCCCCTTTTCTTCATGAAGACACAAAGCATCCGAGATTCTGGATTCTGAACTCAATCTCGTAACTGAATAGGGATTTTGTTTTACTTGGGAACCCCAGGGATATTTGTAGTTTATGTGGCAAGCAGATAAAATTAAGCACTTACTGTCCAGAAGGGAAGACTATGATAAGTCATTAAAAATATGCTAATAAGCTGGTACTGTTTTTTTTCTGAATACTTGTCAGTAATATACTTTCCAGTCTTTTTAAGAGAGCACAGTATTTAGGCTTCCTTTTACCCAATGTAATGCAGGTAGATGTAAATATAACCAAAATGAAAATGTATACATTGTGCAAAATGAAAAATGATGTAAGAATTATATAAAATAAAATATTTTTACATTAAAAATAAGTAAATAAATAATGCTATGCCTATGCAGAAGCTCTAGGAAGAGCATTGAGAGAGTGTCCATCCACACAGTTCTTAGATTGACAGAAGGCTTTTACCAATCTGCAAAGAATAGCAACATGAATAAAAATTATGCCCTTCATTATTGTACATTATTGTTGATTTATTTTAATTTAGCAAACCAAAAAAAATCCTTAATATTTGATAAAGAACAAATTTTCTTATATGTGTGTGTTTATATACATACACATGTGTATCATGATGATTTTGGTGATGATAAAGGAAGAAAAAGTATTACTGAAGGGGGACAGGCTCTGCTTCTGTGTCTAAAAATACAAGCGAGTAACTAATCTGAAATTCCCGTTGTTAGATAAACAGATATAGTCTTAGGAATATAGGTTAGCTTGAAAGAAAATAAGAGCAAGCCTCAAAATGAAACAGAATTTGAAGCTTCAAATGCATAATTTTATGATTGTAGGGAAGTTCTCTTCAAGGAGGGAAAACTTCCAATTTGTGATCCAGGACCTGTCTGCATTTCTACAACTAAGAATACATTCTTGCTTAGCTTTCTTTTTTTCCTGCTTCCTCAATTTATTTTCTCCTGAAAGCATATCCCAGAAGCACTTGAACAAGAATGCCCAGCTCAGGATTTACTCCCAAAGAAAATTGACCTAAGTTAGTTACTGTTTCTTCAAAACAGACAGTTTCATTCAGCAGTATTATTTTTAATTAAAAATCTTTCCAGTCAAACAGGGCAACACATTCTGAGTCAAAGCTCTTTCCATATTTTTCATTTGTCCCCTTGAAAAATAAATTTGTCTCCTTCAAAAGACATCTCCAGATTGCTGTCCTCTTCCTTAGGGAACTAAGAGCAGATATTGGTGTACAATGGTTCAGTACTATGGCAGTGACTGAGTCTCTCTGAGACAGAGTGAGTACTTCAGGGTGCTAACATAATCTACTATCAACTGAATTATATAGAAATATTCTTAAGCTAAGTCTTTCAGTATAGGTAGTACAATGTAGGATTGTGTGTTTGCAATCAGTTTTTGTTGGAAGAAAATTTTCTTAGTTAATATTAGTGGGACATGAAAAAACGAAGGAATATTTAGGACAAAAGAATTAAACTGCTTGTGTTCTCAGATAACATGATAGTTCATGTGAAAAATACAAAAGAATATATAAAAATCTCCTGGAACTAAATGATTAAATGATTATATAAAGATTCATATAAAGAAGTTAGTTGTTTTTTTTTAATCTACCAGAGATAATCAAGTAGAATTTAAATATAAAAAATAGCATTTACATTAACACTACCCAAAATTAAATACAGCATTATAAATCTAGCAAAATATGTATAAGATTCATATGAGAAAAACTATAAAACTTTAATTAAAAAAACAAATATTTATGCAAATTGACAAATATTCCAAATTCATATATAAGAAGACTCAATATTTCTAATGCTAGTTCTTTCCAACTTGGTTTACATATTCAATTTAGTGCCATCCCACTCAAAAATCTTAGCTAGATATTTTGAGGATATTAAAAACTGATTCAAAATTGTTAGGGAGAGGTAAAAGATCAGGGTAGCCCACACAATACTGTATTGAGACCGACTGTGAAATATACTATAAAACTACAGTAATTAAGACATGAACTATTGGTGAAATAGTAGATAAATAGATGAATGTAAGATGATAGAAAACCACACATGATCTATTCCAGTGTCAAATAGTCAATATGCCAAACAACTTTTGACAAAGGAACAAAAAGTTAGTCTTTCAACAAATATCAACAAATGTCACTGGAACAACTGGATATCCACATCCAAAAAAAATAAAAAAATAGAAACTAGACTCAGAGCTTATACCGGGCACAAAATTAACTGCAAATTAATCACAGACCAAAATGAAAAACATAAAACTCCTAAAATATGACATAGGAGAAAATCTAAATCACCTTGAGTTTAGCAATGATTATCAATTTGTATATTATTTAAAATTATTATTTACTTAACTTTATTTTGTGTGCATTTTATTCATTATTAAAGTAGCATTGCATTATAACATATGTTTCAGGTTGGTGATGACTTTGTTTTATTTTTTTTAAATTGAGATAATGATTTACAACATTGTTTGCAATTCAGAGATATGGGTGCCTCACCTTTTGGATGTTGTTATCATACCACACCCACTAGCAAAATGCCCATCGTCCTCCACCATAGTTCTCTGCGTCCTCCTCATCTTTTATCCTCTCTCCTTAGTCCCTCTTTGGTAGTCTCTTTTGTAGTCTTAGTCCCTCTTTTGTAGTCAGATTTCTAGGATTAGTTATTGATTTGACTTTATTTAACACTGTTTAGTTTCTCTACATTCTATATCAAGTGTGACCACCTGGTATTTGTCTCTATAAAAACACAATGTCAAGATGATGAGAAGCTAAGCCATAGATCAAGAGTAAACATTTGAAAGAAAAAAACTTGTTACTTTTCAAAATAGACAATGAGCTTTTAAAATCCAAGAAAGAAATAACCACATTAAAAATTACCAGACCTCAATAACCTCACCAAATGAGTTATGCATATGAAAAATAAACATATGAAAGGGTACTCCACATCATGTATCATCAGAGAAATGTAAATTAGAACAATTATATTACACTGTCATCTACCTTTCAGAATGGTCAAATCAAGAACACTGATGGCACAAAATCTTAGCAAGGGCATAACAGCAAAAGCAAGACTCATTCATTACTAGTGAGAATGCAAACTGGTACAGCCACTTTGTAAAAAAGTTGTTAATTTCTTATAAAACTAAACAGACTCTTACCATATGATTCATTAATCACATTTCTTAGCATTTTTCCAAAGGAATTAAAACTTATATTAATACAAAAACTTACAAATGATATTTATAGCAATGTTAGACATAGTGACAAAACTTGGAATCACAAATATATCCTCCAGTAGGTAAGTGGATAAATGAACTATAGTGTAACTAGAAAAAGGAATACTATGCAACACTAAATATCAAAACATGAGGAACCTTGAGTGCATATTAATAACTGGGAGACACGAATCAGAAAATACTGCATAATGCTTGATTCTTTGCGACATTTCGTAAGAGACAAAATTATGGAGACAATAAAAAGATCAGTCATTGGCAGGGATTGGATGGGGATGAGCGACTTGTTGGAGCAAAGAGGATTTATACAGCAGTGAAAACACTCTGTATGATACTATAAATGGGCACATATACATGTAGATGTACAATATAAATTGCTTTAAGAAATGAAGTCTACTAAAAACAGAGAATACATACAAAAAAGAGGATCAAACTTCCTGGGTTATTGTAAAGTTCAGATTTAGAGAAATGTTAATGATGAGGTTTGAGTAGTGCAGGGTCCTTGGGTTCACTCTGGGAAAGGTTTCCCTAGAGCTTCCCTTTCAGTGGCACACGGAGAGTTTCTCCCTGAGACAGAGCCGGTCGTTACATTTAAAAAGTAGGTTTATTAGGAAAAGGGTTAGAAAAGTAAAGTACACTTGCATAGACACAAGTGGGCAGGAAGAGCTGCCCCTCTATGGGGGCAGCATTAGGTTTTATGGGCTCCTTTTGGTAGGAAGGGGCTCATCTTTGTGAGTTGTCAGTTGGTTGCTAATTTTGGATAACTGTAGAATTTGAAAGGGACCTGGAGATTCTACAAAGGGCTCAATCTCCATATCTACAGACTGCACCTAGGAATACTAGTGTCCATCTGCACCTCGCATACCCCGTGCCTCAGGATACTAGTTTCTGCAACTGTGTCAGTGGTTATGCTAATCTCTTCTGCCCCCACCTCCTTGTGTGAGGCAGGTTTCTGTTCTTGTGGCGCCACCTTTAGTTTTTTTTTTTTTTTTTCTGTTCCTTTCCTCCATCATTCGGATATCTTTCATGCTTTATTAGGGAATAAATCATGTTGGTCACATAGGTGTGGGCAACTCTACTAATTATAGTCTTCTTTATGGAAATAGACTCTTAAGCAGGAAATTCAGCAGATGGAAGTGAGGTGGAAATCAATAGTGACATAAGTAGCTCTGTAGGTTTTACATAAACCCTGCTATCCTACTATATGTGGTAAAACAATAATCAGGGAGGCTTAGAGTTTATTCTGGAATCCAGAGGAACAACTCACCACATCCTTCTAGTTATTTAACAGAACAAGCCTAATGATAAATGTTCTTTCATCAACTAATGCCATATATGACATGATGTTGATCAGCATATTATTTTAATAATGATTTTTAGCTATAATAATAAACTTGAACACTTACTGATTGCTTGTTCCAAGAATATCCTGAAGGTTAGCACATATTCCCAATGGGAAATCCAAATGACTAAAAATACAAAACAAATAAAAATCACTGATCATTCATAAAAGAACTGATATTATCAAATATTATTTCATTGTTTAGGAATGCATGTTTGCAGTAATTTTTACTTTTTACTTAATCATCTGGACAACATTTAAAGTAAGCATTTATTCACTTTATTTCTTTGTTTGCAGAGATTCAAATTATCAGAGATAATTATTTCTTTAGTGTAAATAATTCAACAAGGCATTTGTTTATCAAATAAAAATTTGTACTTGTGCTATTTTTAAGCAGTGGTTGAAAATATTCAATTTTTAGTAAAAGAGAATGTTTGATAGAATACCAAGATAAAAAAAAAACAATATAAGTTTGGCAATATTCACAATTCATTTAGAAGTCATTCAAATGACTTGCTGTAAAAATTATTGAGTTAGAAATACCACAACAGACTGTTCTTGCCAGACTAAAACTATTCACTCTTTTTTTTTATATTTTTTACATTATTGTTCATTTTGAAACAATATTTGCTTTCCCCCACCCCCTCAGGTGTAGTCCCCATAGAGTTTCCTTCCCCAATGCACCTGTGCACCGTCACCTCAGTCCCCTGTGCTCCTCCCTCCCTCCCTCTGATCCCTCTCTCTCCTCCTCTCCTGCAATATGTCTCTAATTTATAATTGTCCATTTTTGCTTTGTTGTGTTTTGTACTGTTATTTTTTTACACTGATGTCTTATTTGGTTCCCCTATATTCCTGCTATAAGTGAAACCATCTGATATTTTTCTTTTTCCGTCTAGCTTAGTTCACTGAGCATAATTCCTTCTAGTTCCATCCACATAGCTGCGAATGGCATGAGTATTATCTTTTTTGATTGCTGAATAATATTCCATTGTGTATACATCTTCTTGACCCAGTCATCTATTTTTGGGCATTTGGGTTGTTTTCAGGTTTTACCTATTGTAAATAGTGCTGCAATAAACATAGGTGTACAGGTGTTCTTTTGAATCACTGTTTTTGTGACCTTTGGGTAGATCCCTAGGAGTGGAATTGCCAGGTCATATGGTAGCTTCATTTTTAGTAGACTGAGGAACCTCCAGACAGCTTTCCATAGTGGTTGGACCAGTTTGCACTCCCACCACCAATGTAGGAGAGTTCCTTTGTCACCACATCCTCGCCAACATTTGTTTTTGCTTGGTTTGGTTTTTTTTTTTTTTTTTTTTTTTTTTGATATGTGCCATTCTTACTGGTGCAAGGTGGTATCTTAATGTGGTTTTGATTTGCATTTCCCTGATGATAAGGAATCTTGAACATTTTTTCATATTCCTGTTGTCCATTTGCATTTCGTCTTTGGAGAAATGTCTTTTAAGTTCTTTTGCCCATTTCTTGACTGAATTGTTTAGTTTGTTTTTGTTGAGCCTAGTGAGTTCTTTGTAGATCTTTGTGATCAGTCCCTTATCAGTTGACTGGAGTGCAAAGATTTTTTCCCAATCTTTGGGGGGGGGTCTCTCTGTTTGGGTTAATGTTTCTTTTGCTGTGCAGAAGCTTTTCAGTTTGATGTAATCCTGGGTGTTTATCTTTTCTTTGACTTTCTTTGCTTTGGGTGATGAATCTTTATTTATTTATTTATTTATTTATTTATTTTTATTTATACAACAGCCAGGGTACAGGCCAGATACGCAGGAGGGTGAGAGGATTCACGAGAGACAGAGCGGGGAAAAGAACAGGCAGACTGATGAAATACACTGCTGAGGGGAGCAGCAGGCAAGACAGGAGAGGTATGCTGCGCCATGTGGGACCCTCACCGGTCGGAATCAAAATGGCACTGCAGAGGCTGCAGACAGCTTCACAGTGCTGCACTCAACAATCTGCACCACCAGTGTGGGCCCTATTTTATTTTGTATTTTACACCTGGTAGATTTTTTTTTTATGCATTTTTTCTGTTTCTCAAAGAAACTGGGAATGGGAAAGTTACAATATCTGAAGATAAATGAAACTACCACATTCTGATTGTGGTGAAGTAGTGGATATTCACACAGACCAATGCAACAGAATAGAGACCCCAGAAATAAAACCACACTTATATGGACAACTGATCTTTGACAAAGGAGCAAAGAATATGCAATGGAATATGGACAATTTGTTCAATAAACGGTGCTGGGAAAACTGGACCACCACATGCAAAAAAATGAAACTAGACCACTACCTTTCACCATGCATAAAAATCAACTCAAAATGGATAAAAGAACTGGACATAAGACCTGAAACCATAAAATATATAGAAGAAAATATAGGTAAAACACTACAAGATATACATCGCAATGACATCTTTAAAGATTCATCACCCAGGGCCTCCCTGGTGGCGTAGGTGGTTCAGCACACAGCTGTGAATCTGTCCACAGCCTCAGCAGTGCCAGTTTGATCCCCATCAGTATCGGAGCAACCCACATGGCTAGCAGACCTCTCCTGTCTCACCCACTGCTCCCCTCTTAATTCAACTTGGAGAGTTCACTTCAGTTATTTTGAATACATGAAACAGTCTATTAATCAAGAAGAAAAATTAGTTTTCAAATAGCATTATGATTTTAGTAATTTTGCAATCATATTTTATAAAAAGTATAATAATATTATTTTACTATTATTGGAATAAAACATTCTATAACTAGAAAAATAAAACCCTTGGTTACTGCATGGATTAGTTTTATAAAATATAAGACTTATTAAGTCATTTTAAAAAAAAATGTTTCAGGGACTGTCATCGTATTTTTTTAAAGATTTATTTTATTTAATTTTTATGCATACAAGAGCTGGGTGTATCTCAGAGGTGGGGGGTGGGGAGGGTGAGAAGATTCACCAGAGACAGAGTGGGAAGCAGAACAGGCAGATCTACTGAAATACACTGCTTACAGGAGCAGTGGGCAAGACAGCAGAAGTCCTCTGCACTATGTGGGTAAGCTCCCTGGCCCGGAATTGAACTTGTGCTGCAGTGGCTGCAGCTAGCTTCACAGTACTGAGACTTAACCCCTTGCACCACCAGGGAGGCCCTGTTATTATATTTTCAAAAGTGCATTACGGGGAAGTTTAAGGACTCAAAGTACACACACACACACACACACACACACACACACACACAGAGGCAGGCAGGCAGGCTTCTGGGATAGCTTTATAGACTGCAAACTTTTTGAGTTCCAATCCATTTGCAAATACTTTGTGAGGACAATGTTAGTACAAAAACATCAAATTATAACTTGGAGACTTGGGTCTTGTTTCTTGCTCTACTAGTTACCACATCTGTCACCTTGGACACACCATTACCCTCTGAATATCCTTTTATAGCAAGGAGATGACTATTCTTACATACATGCACAGAGGTAATTTTGAAAGAGCTTGGAGATGGTCTATAGTATAAAAAACATGAAAGAATATTTTAGCAAGTATGAAATGAAACAGAAGTATCCCCAATAGTTGCTTGACTACCCCTTGCTTTGCTGTGATTCTCTCACATCCAGAGCCCACAAAAACAGGCATTTAAGTTTTACGAAAGCCTCATGGCAGCCGCAAAGCAATCACCCGTGTGGAGACGCAGAGGGTCCCCACGGCTTGTTCTGGGTTTCCTTACTCACTGAAAGGGAAGCTTTCACGATGCCCGAAGTCTTTGATATCCTCAAATTCCTCACATCAAAAACCCACTTTCCTAGGTGGCACCACCCCAAAAGACTCCCCAAAAGAACAGTCCTACAGAAAACAAAAGGGATGGTGTCAGAGAGAACCTGGGAGAAGCTTCTGTTGGCAGCTTCTGCTACTATTGCTATTGGAAACCCTGCTCGTGCCAGTGTCCTGGCCAGGGAACTTGCCTGAAGTTGGCTGCTGCCACCAAAGCCACTCTTGCTGGCGCAGGCCTTGCTGCTTCTGGAACCCTCACTAACCAGTTCCCAGAGGCCCCTGAGTCCAGGACTCCCAGCAGGTAACTGAACTCAGAACAATCACCAGCCTCTCCTCCTATGTTAAAGTGCCAGCCATCGCTGGGGCAGCAGAGAATCTCCTCCGCCTCGCGGACTCCCGCATCCCCTGCAGCCCCGGCCTGCAGCCTGCAGGTCGCTTCCTCCGGAAGTTCCGGCAGCAGGTAGCTCCGCGCAGGCGCAGCACCTCTCCTGTGAGCACCTGGCGCAGGTGGTGCGCGAGCTGTTCTTCCAGGGGCTCCTGAAAAGCAAGAATAGCCTTCTGTGGAAAAGGCTGTGACAAGGAGGAATTTCGGGGTGAATGGGTGAATACATCGCTCCAACGCGCAAATGTCCTGCCCTTCCTCGGAGGTCGCAGCCAGGTTTGAAGGCCCCAGGGCACTGCGAAGACTCTGCAGATGGCACGGCTGGGCCACAGCAAGGGTGAGAAAAAACATTAAGTGGTCTTAAGCATTCTCCCCAAGAGTTTTGAACAGAAAATGGAAATAAGGTCAATGCAATATGTTTCAAGACAAAAAGAGAAAGCAGCTTCTTTGTTTGCTAAGGTGAAGTGGAACTTCTCCATGAAAACGCTGCTGTCTTTTCGCATTTTGGGAGTGTTTTGGGAGCATGTCCCGTCGATGGGAATCGTAAAAGCAGAGCACTAGACATGCAGTCCAAAACCTTTGCTCTGCAGAGAGAAACTGGAAGTCGGGCTTCTCTCTTGGTTGTGTGTGCTATGTGGGGTTGGGGTTTATGGAATGAGGGTGTTGCAGCCAACTGTGACTATACATTCCATTAATCTGTGGCAGGAGAGAAGTTAAGGAGCGTGTTTTTCTTTTTCTTTCTTTTTTTTTTTTTTTTTTTTTTTTCTGTTTGTTTTAATCCAGGAGCGTTTTTGTTACCGGCAAGTACCTCCCTCTCCTGTTTATATAATTCACCAATCCTGACTTTTAGCTCCAAGGTTTTAGATGTGGGATTTTTAAAAATATTCTGGCCAATCAAAATACCTCTGATAAGCATGTATCATGCTTATATCCACTCATACCTTCTAGCATACACTGAATTTGAAAGGTAGAATCAACTCTAAAGGCTGTATAAATGAAAAATTGTGCATACTGAGCACTTTTTCCTGGAACTATGATTACTTTTATGTTATTCTCCGTCAATGGAAACAATAAAACTCCCTAGAATTTCACAATTTAGCTGTTGGGCAATCTGTTATTCACAGATCAAATTATTTTATATTGTTTGCATTTTTTAAAAGATTTATTTATGCATACAAGAACTGGGGTGCAGGCCAGAGGTTTGGGGAAGGTGAGAGGAGTCACCAGACACAGAGTGGGGAACACAACAGGTGGATTGACTGAAATAAGCAGTGGGGAAGACAGGAGAGATCTATTGGGCTAGGTAGGTAGCTCCCTGGTGACTGGGGATGGAACTTATGCTGCAGAGGTTGCTGATAGCTTCCAAGTGCTGTGCTTAACCCCTTTTGCCACCAGGGAAACCCTCACATTATTTTAGTCCTCTCTGTTTTGTCATTATATCTATGGATAAAATATCAAAATGAAAATTAAGTAAGCTTTGATACACAAAATATTGTAAGTCCTTAGCTATAAAATAGAAACACATGCTAATTAACGAGGTAGTAAGCCACCTGCAAGTGATGTTTGAACCTAAATACCACATTGAACCCCATAAGTTAAATGTTGCACATTTTTTCATATATTTTCCAATTTCAAAATGCTTTTAATCATGAATTATATTAGAAAGTCCTGTTTTTAGATTCCACATGGGACCAGAGTGATGAAGGAATAAGAACAACTGTTATTTTATTTTTTTTCCAAACTACTTACATATTTTTAAATTGAAATAAGAGAAGTTTAGCATGTATCGAATCTAAACTATGCTGTATAGAACATATATAGATTTATTTTTTACTTTATTTTTTATTTTAACATTTATCATTTTTTAAAAATTTTTTTAGACAACATTTGCTTTCCCCCACCCTGTATAGAACATGTATAGATTTAGACCCCCTTGAAATGAAGTAAACTTCCAAAAGTTGTCAAGAATGCAAAAATCTTTTTTAAAAAATTGAAAACTGGTATGGTCTCCTGGAAAATAAAGTAAAATTGTACACATGAAATACAGAGCTAAGGAAACTTGCATTCAAATACATCTATCCACATTAAATAGCTTTGTACTTAGCTTCATTTGTAAAACTTAGTTTTTCCATAGTAAATTGAGTAAAGTAGCTACCAAATGAAAGAATTATGTTTAACTTATATTAAATGTTGTTTTATTTCATATTTTATTGCAACATTTTGCTTTTATTGAAACAATCAATATGTAGGGTACTTTATTTATAAATATTATTTTTAAAAGTTACAGATAAATTTCCTGCTAGATGTAATCTTCTTTTTTTTTTTTTTTTTTTTTTTTTTTTTTTTTTATAGAGGCATGTTTTATTTATTTATTTATTTTGTTTGTTTGTTTTTTTGTTTATACATGCACTGGGTACAGTCAGAAGCGCGGGAGGGTGAGAGAATTCACCAGAGCCAGAGCGGGGAGCAGAGCAGGCAGAAGGACCGAAGTACACTGCTGAGGGGAGCAGCGGGCGGCAGGAGAGGTCTGCGCGCCATATGGGACCCTCCTCCGGTGGCTGGGGAGCAGCCGGGGATCGAACCGGCGCCACAGTGGCTGCGGGCAGCTTCGTAACCCAGCGCTCAACCGCTGCGCCACCGGGGAGGCCCGCTAGATGTAATCTTACTGTTTTTTTTAAAGCCCACTGAATGTAAGCAAATTATTTACATGTATTTCCTTTAGCTACAGTTTTGAAACTTTACATTGTCCATTTGTCATACAAATAGCATAGATTATTTCATGCAAAATATTACTTAGTTTAAAAACCATTTTATTTATTAAAATTAATTATCACCTTCATTTTACATAGGAGAAAACTATGACTCTGAGAGCTTAACATTAGTATTCTGAAATTTATAATATCTAAATATCATCGAGACCAAATTCAAAGAACACTGGATTGTGTTCTGAAAAAGAACTTCATGTATCTTCATTCAACACCTAATAGACAGTTATCTATTCCTGCTGTACAAGTTAGGGATAAAAATGATTTATCATATCACCTCCATTTATGATTTAACTTCTTCAGATATAAACAACGTTGGCTCATTCTATTTTTTTTTCCTTAAAAACATTTCAAACAGTTTTATTGTTCACACTGTCTGAGTTTAAATTTGATGTGGGCTTTTGCTTTTTGTTAACTGAAGCATTTCCTATTAGCATTCTAATTATATCAACCACACATACTGAATCTGTTATTTTGTACTTATTATTTTCATATAGATTTCATTGAAAATAAGTATCTAACTTACAATATCTCAAAGAACTTCAAGAATATGGCATTTAGTACTTTAGAAATCAAAATTGCTTTCATTTTTGTGCTATGGCCATATCAGATATATGTATGGCTCTTTTCTTTCAAGCCTGAAATTAATTTCCTGAAATGTTCATTTTAACTATACGATAAGCATTGAGTCCCAAAAAGTAGTTCGCTTTGGTGAAGAATAACTAAGCCATGGGCATTATTTTCAATGTCTAATGGACTGCAGATTACCTATTAAAAGTAAAAACTTCATTTTATAAATTGAATAGAAAGATGATTGAAAGTAATTATCATTGGTTAAAAGTAGGTCACTTGAAAAAGTCAAATATAAGTATCTCTCCCTAGGTCCTATAGTATTTTTATTTAATTTTGAATAGAAAATATTTTCATTTATTTTAAACATGTAATGTTTTGTTCTCTTCCCTTAAAATTAGAATTGACTGGCATGAATACTTGAGCATAAAGTCTTACTGGATTAAAAAAAAAACCTGAAAATTGCATAAATGTTACTAAAGAAGCACATCTTTAATACTCATAAAAATAAAAATCATTATAGAAAACCCTTATCCTACTTTACTGTCAGCTTAACCTTGTAATAAGTGGTGTGATGTGCTAATAGTCACTCTTGAAACAAAATAAGAGTAAAGTGAAATATTTGAAATGGTAAAAGAAAAAAAAAGCCCAATGTTTGTGTCCAATGAAATTATCCTTTAAAAATAAAATAAAGAAAAAGGGCCTCCCTGGTGGCACAAGGTATTAAGACACAACCTATGAAGCTATCCGCAACCACTGAAGCACGAGTTCAATCCCTGGTAGGCCAGGGAGCTACCCACATGGTACAGCAGACCTCTCCTGACTTGCCCACTGCTCCCCTCAGTAATGTATTTTAGTCAGTCTGCCTGTTCTGCTCCCCACTCTGTCTCTGATGAATCCTCTCACCCCCCACACCTCTGGCCTGTACCCCAGTTCTTGTATGCATAAATAAATAAATATTAAAAAAATAAAAATAAAGAAGAAATACAAGGTCAAACATAAATTGAGAATATTGTTTGTGCACCATAAAGGAATGGTTAAAGAAGTTGTTCATAGATCAAAAAAAAAAAAACTATACAATTCTGAATTTATGCCATATGTTTTTAAAGGAAGAACATTAGAGAAGGAATAATTACAAGTAAAATAATATTTTAATTAATCTAACAGATAAGCTTTTGTTTAAAGTAATGATAGCAACTATCAGTTGACCATAACATGTGAATGAATGATTTAAATGACAGCAATGTTAAAAGTGTCAGGTAGGAGAACTTAGGACTACTGCATTATAAGGTGCGTGTAACTATACATTACCTGGTATAATGCCATTTGAGGAGAGATTTACGTTAGTGGCAAATTATATTACAAACTCTAGGGAAACCAACAATAAAAGATAAGAGAAGTATAATTTTATAATTAATATGCTGAGAGGACAGAAAATGCAATTATAAAAAGTCTTAAGTTGATATTAGAGAGAACATAAACAGGGAAGACAAAGAAACAAACAACAAAGACAACAGATAGAAAACACAAATATGGTAGATATTAATTAAACTATATCAATAATCACTTTACATTTAAATGATTGAATACACAAATTAAAAGATAGAAACTGCCAGAGTGGATTTAAAAAAAAATTAAAACCCAACTCACATTGTCTATAAGAAATTAATTTTAAATTTAAGACACAGATTAAAATAAAATGGATGGAGAAAGGTATACCATGCAAATAGCCTCTGCAGCGCCAGTTCGATCCCTGGCCACTGGCAAGGGTCCCACATGGCACGCAGACCTCTCCTGCCATGCTCGCTGCTCCCCTCAGCAGTGTATTTTGTCAGTCTGCCTGTTCTGTTCCCTGCTCTGGCTCTGGTGAATTCTCTCACCCTCCTGCACTTCTGACTGTACCTGGTGCTTGTATAAAGAGAAGAGGAGGGGAGGGTAGGGGAGGGGAGGGGAAGCATGCAAACTTTGATTGTTAACCCAGGGAGA